TTTTTTTTTTTTTTTGGATTGAGGGGGGCGTTTCTAGTGACCACATTTATTTAAATAAAGATGATACTTGTTCCTACACTGTCAGTTAGGAACTACACTTAGTGCTAATAGAAAGTAAAAAGCTGGGTCTTGTTAGTTGAGGCATATGTGTACAAAATAACAGCAACTTTTTTTCAGAGTGCATCTAACAGCGTGGTTCTGGATTGTTAATGCAGCATGTTAGACAAGGTGAAAGTTTGTTTTGTTGTTATTATTGAAAAAAGTGTAATTTTGGTTAGTCTCACCAACAACATCATTTCTTGTTGCTCGTGGCTCAAACTGCATTGCATATAAATCAGAAACTGTGACACTGCAGCCCTGCTTGCTTAATTCTTCCATAGCAATCCTCTTCAAAGATCCATTGAAGGACCTGGGCTCTTGATGTGCATAGACTATCAGGACTTTTCTTCCTGGAGGCAGACAGGAAACAAGAAGACACCTTTGAGTACAGGAGGCAGATATGAAAGAGTTTGTGGAACCAGTCCTTCATTTTTCTGTAGTGTGTTCTCCCAGCAGCACAAAACTAGTGAAACAGAATGACGGTGGCAGTGTTTGACCCCTGCTCGCCAGCAATGAGTGACTCAGGAACTAATCAGTAAATGTCCCTCACCCAGGGATTTTGTGCTAAACTGGGCTTTCCAGGTGAAACTCAGTGGACAGTGGGTGCGATTCCATAGCAAGTCACACTATCCTACGTCAGCACAATCCAGTTCCTCCTCGAGTCAGCATTTGTGTTCATTGGATTCCACTGCCCCCCACCCCCAACACACCCAACAACAGAAGAAAAAAAAAAAAGCTGTCTGCTGCTTTAGCTCCCTAGGCTGGGTCAGACAAGCTACACAGCACAAGTGTGAGGGGTGGGCTGGGATCAAAGCCGTCCCAGCTTGTGTATAAGAGACAGCGCCATAACCGTTACTGACACACGCGGTGTGTCCCGCGCTGACCGGGGTCCCCTTATAACGGGTGCTGCTCGCCCCCGTGTGCTGCCGCAGGGGCAGCGGGGCGGCTCCTCCGTGGGGACCCTCCGGCTCCCCGGTGCGTTCGGTGAGTCCTCAGTCGGTTGTGGTTCGCAAAAGGAGAATCCGAGGCAGAAATCAAAGTGACTGGGCGCAACGGCCCGGGAGATAATCAGCCGAGCTCCGTGTGTCATCTTGCCGGGGCGGGGGGGGGTGGTGAGCAGAAAACCTCCGTGCAAACCTCGCACCGCCTGCGTTTTTCACCCGCTGCCCTCCGTGGTGCCGGGGTCCGGGGAGACACGCAGCCCTCAGGGCTGCCCTGGGAGAAGGTGACAGGCGCCGTGCTGCAGGCACCGGGGACAGCCCTGCCTGGAAACGGCCCCGGACAGCGAGGCTGCGCCAGTCCCTCACCGGCGATGTTAAGTATAAAACATGAGCCCAATTTCTGCTTGGCTGCACTCTCCCGGTTATATGGGAAGCAGCGTGGTAAAGAGCTGGGCCGGGACTCCAGAAACCCAGATTCGAGTTAAAGTTTACTTCCCATGGCTTCTGGTAACAGAAATAACGAGTCCTTCTGACGAAACACTTGGTGTTTAAACGGCTGTTGGTATTAGTATACTGCTAGAGAGTAGAATTCACTTTTGTGAAGACCAGGAAAGATTTTCAGTGTTACTGTTATTTTATTCGAGTTGTTTTTAATAGCTCATACAAATGATCTAGCCAAAAGTATATGTTTTCCTTCATCTTCCTCCCATGCATAAAGTCTATTTATAGTAAGACATGGGAAACTAAAGGAAGAATGCTATTAGTTTATATACTGTACCTATATGTTATCTGACAGTCTATTTAATATGATATGTCACAGGAACAGTAAAGAAAAAAAAATTCACTATTCTTGCTAGCTCTTCTCCATTCAAAGTATTAGAGTATTTCCAAGAGGTGGGTTTTTTGTTGTTTTTTGGTTTGGGTTTTTTTTTTTTTTTTTTAATTTTCTCTGTTCCTGCTTTCTTCCTCAGCATTCACCCTGCATTGGAAATTGTTTCTGCCTGGACATTGCCTGGGCATTGTCTGGGTGTCTGCCAGCATGCCCCCTCCTCTGGGGTCCTGTTTCCCTTCCTATCCTTATCTCCTGCTATCGGGAGCCTGGTCAGAGCGAATGATGGCTGTTGTCCAGTCCATGTGTCTAAAGATTTCTGTGGGCTGGGTGGGAGCTAATGCATGCTTGGTCATATCCTGACATGGAGTATCAGAAAGACTCCTTGTTTCCCACCCAGGTTTTGACATAGCTCCTTGCCTGACAATTATCTTGGTCTCTTTTGGAGATTTAATGTAAAGAATGAGCATAACATGTACAAAGTGAATGGCTAATTTTCTTTTGGAGCACAAAATATTTTTGTCCTCCCCAGTACGTATCATATATATTATTGTTAACAACAGTTGAAAAGGTCCACTTGAATATAAAAACAGTATTAGAAAGGGAGTTAATTTGTGGAGGAAGGACTTCAGAAAACACATTCATGATGCATCAGATAGATAGACACCTATGTTAAAATATTTCACAGGTGTACAAGGAGAAATAAATTTTATTTTACTATTGTAGGATTTTAAAACTGGAAAATACTGCATTGCTGTAGGTGTTGTGATTTTGTGATTTTAGACAAATGAAAGCTTTAGTGTCCACCTTGAGTTTATGAATTTGAAGAGCATAAAATCACTAAATATTTCTCCACAGAAGATTGACAGCAGTGATCTCACTGTAAAGGTGACCTCCCCCCATTTCTGAGTAAGGTTGTAAAAGTTAACAGGATTAGTTCCTGTGTTAATTCCTAATATGTCCTAAAGTACCTTTCTCTCAAATATTGTTGGAATGTTCTCTAATAATTTTATAAAATTTTTAAAAATCCTTTTATGTTTGTCTTTGGCCAAGGCTCATTATAAAGATTTCAGCAGCCCCATTCAGTAATTTCTTAGCAATCTTGTGAGCACCCATTAGTTTTTCAGAGCTCTTCAGAGTTCTTTATGAATTCTCAAGAAAATAAGGGATATTTTCATATTTTACTACCATGCTGAGGCTAATTACTGTCTGGCACTGGGTGCTGTAAGAACAGCATTATAAAATACCTGAGGTAGAATAGCTCAGGATGAGTCAGAAGCTATAAACCAGAAAGCCCTCTGCTGGGAAGTATTTAGAGAGAGCCCAGTGCTTATTGCTGTAACAGTGCCAGCAAAATTTATACAGGAAACAACGTGCAGTGGAAGCTGGGGGAAGCCTGAAAAACTGCAGTTAACGAAGTGGCTGCAGGGAGAAGGAACTAGCTAGAGCCATGAGCAGGCATGGCACCAAAGGATTACACTTTGAAATGAAAAGAGTTTTCCAGGTCAAAGCTGTGATATACTGGCACAGTGATACAGGGACATATGCAGTGCTACTTCATACGTCATACTGCTTTGTGAACAGAGACCTTTGTGCCCCAGACATGTCTGAATAATACTTTTGACACTAGCATCCCGTAAGAAAAAGGAAAATCTATCTGTCAGTTGGTGGTAAAAAATGAAAAAAGGATCAAAACAAGAGTATCTGAATACTTAAAAACAACTAAGTGCTTTTATTTACATTCTCTTCCAATATCTTGCAAGCATTAAATTAAAAATTTTGAGTTTATTATAGGAGAAAGATAAGAAAATCCTGCATTTCAAATACATCTAAGAGAGAGGAAATAACCCACACATTTTATTGCCTCCAAGTTATGTTCATTTATGGCCTACCTTTAAAATCTGCATGCTGAGAATACATTATTGGGTATTATAGTAAGACTCTCCCAAGTTCAAGGACTAAACTACTCTGAATTAATCAAGTTTGTTGATTACTCAAGCCAACAATGAATTGAGTAATCAACACAATGAAAAACATTATAGATGCCAGCGTAAAATAGACATATAGCACTTTGATTCCCTCAGCAACTGAACTAGATTAGCATTTTGCTTTCTTTTTCCCCTCACTTTATCAGATACTACATCACACAGTTTTGTGATCCTTAATATCTGTGGTATAAATTCATGTGGAAATGCTGATACCATACTTGTGTGTGTGTGTGTGTGCATTTTCTTCATGCAAATTAGGAAACATGGATTAGGGTGCAAGGTATGGTCATCTATCTTGGAAGAGAAATTAGTTAGAATATAACAGTGCAGAAGCTATTTTAGCTTTCCTTATGTCTTTTCCTAGGATTAATACAGAGTTTGTTGTACACATTGTTCTGTCTCGAGTAGCATATTTTTTAAAATATCGTGTATCCAAAGGGTATCTGTTGTGCCCTCTAGCGCCCAGTGCAAGGGTTTGTGTTTACAACAGAAGTGAAGCCTTCACCAGGACGAGTTTTTAATCTTTAATGCAAGTTCTGTCCTAGAGGAAATGTTTTAAGAACCTCTGTCACCAATGATAATAAGGAGCAAGGAAAACCAATGCTAATAAATCGCTAGTATAAGAGAAATCCTATTTGATATTAGTTTTCTGTAGAGAACGTGGCTGCTGTTCTAACCAGTGTTCACTGTGGTTCTGCACTGAAAAAGGAAGAAAAAAGATAAACTGAGAAGTAATATCCTACAGAAAATATTTTTGCATCGGTTTGTACCCCCATGTGTGTCACAATAACACTGTAGTTATTCCTAGGCTGCTTTTGTCAGGTAATAAAGATGACAGTTGCCCTCATATGGATCTCTCTCCTTAGGGCAGAAGAGTTGACGGGCTTGTGCAACAGGAAGGAAGGAAGCAGGAGGACTGCGTGACTAACAGCCTCTTACTGTGACCTGTTTTTCTTCTCTGTCTTTCCGTCTGGTGGTGAGTAACAGAAATTAAAAATGGTAACCTCTGGGGTTAACAAGTCTATAGTATCTCTAAATGAAAGCAAACCATCAACAGGGATAGTGTCCTAGGAAATAATTCTTACCAGTTGTTTAGCTTGTTTTTAAACCTTGTGATATTAAATATTTATGACTACTAAAGTATATAAATGAAACATGTATTTAAGGCTTACATCTATTTGAAACTTAACTGCAGCTTCTGCTAACAGATTTTTGCCAGAAGTAAGGGGACTAGTAAAAATTCTGGGATACATAAAGTTGTTACTTGTAAATTAGTAATCTCTTCTGTACTTTTTGACTGAGAAGTCTGGCCTGAGATACTCTTTTATAACACCAGCTGGAATTTCAAATCTGACTATAGGCTCTCTCTTTGTGTGTAAAGCACAGCAGATCTAGGATTTGCCTTTACATCTGAGTAATGAGAATCTTTTCCAAGCGTGACTTTCTTCACCACATTGTGATAACCAAAGGCAATAGGGTGTGTCTGCATGCTCTCTCAAATTCTTGTGCAATTGTTCATGTAAATATAGAGTGAAATGAATATTAACTTGTACCTAAAGAGGTAATAAATAGGCAGTTTGACTTCAGGGGAAGGTGCTTTATGGAGTATTTGAACTGAGAGTGGCAATGCATTAGCTGTGATATTAAAAAACATGGATACATCTGAGCATAGTTTTCTGAGAAGGTACTTTAAAATATGGTGATATTCTAACTGTTTGATTTTGAACACTAGCTCCAAGCAGAGCTTTAAAGGTTTGGGTTTCGTTTTGTTTTGGTTTGTTGGTGGTGTTTGGTTTTTTGTTTGTTTTTTTTTTTTCCAGGGGAAAGGTGGAGGAGGGAGAAATAAATTTTCTATGCCAATGATTCTTCCCTTAGATGACACAAAAGCTTAGGAGTCATTGAGCTTCAAAATTACTTTCTATCCCAGAAATTATGGAGAAAAGGTCATACATCAAGTTGTCACTGTTTTCATACTCAAGTTGATGCATCTTTAGATTTGAAAAGTGAGATTGGAAAGGAGCCCAGCTGCTGACTGAAGTCTGTTGTGGTGAGGGACGGACATAATTCCGTAAAGCTGATAAACCCTAGTTAGGTATCAGCAGGTATATAAGGTGCTGCCTCTGGTGAATCCAGTGATGTGTGACATAATATATTTTGGAAGCAACAAAGTTTAGATGTTCTTTCCAAAGGGATTTTTGCAGGTTCCTCTTACATGCCAGAGTACTTGTCTGAAGCATCTGCTGGCAAGTCCCTCTGTGCAGCTGCAAACCACCTGGGGAAAAAGCCAGGAAAATGAGAGGGGGCACCCATTTGATCAGTGTGCCATGAGCTCACACTGGCAAGGTTTGTTATGGGATATACTCATGACA